TCCTCATTGTGACATTGCTGTAACGCACAAAATTTAGTCGGTAGTTTAGGACAGCGAGAATGTAAATGAATTTACAAATGAGGATTGGATTGCCTAATCCAGTCAGAGACATAAGCCGGGTGGGATCTTAGGTGATGGAACGAGCAGATCGTCATCTAATTCTTCACACGTGGTTCCCAATGACGAAGATCTGCATGTTGAGCAACTGTTTCAAAAGAAGAAAGACTTGCAGAAAGCTGTGCACATGTTGGCATTGAAATTCAACTTTCAGTTTAAGGTAAAGAAATCAAACAAGTCGTTGACACTTGTTTTGCGTCGACGACAGTTGCCATTGGTGGTTGCGAGCAACTAAGATGGATACGAATGAGTCATTTGTAGTTCGCAAATATACACGGGAACATACTTGTGCGAGATTCTTCAAAACGGTCACGGGCAAGCTCGGTCATGGTTTATTGGTGGACAGATAATGCACAAGTATCATGATCCACAGACGATCTACAGACCTTCAGTCATCATTAACGACGTCCGGCTAGAGTATAGAGTGGTTATGAGCTAAGAATGCGTGTTGGAGGATTTAATGGGCTCGGCCGAAGAGAGTTTTGCCAAATTGGCCAGGTACTGCCATAATTTGGGGACAACTAATCAAGGTTCCACTTTTTTCATTGAAATGGAGGGCGAGAATTGCTTAACGTATTTGTTCATGGCTCTTGGACAATGCATTAGAGGATTTAAAAATGCGATGGGACCCATAATTTTAGTCGATAGTACAACTCTGAAATCGAGATACGGGGCAAGCTGATTATTCCTACACGTCAAGATCCCAACATCTAAATTTACCCACTTGCATTCGGCGTAGTCGACAGCGAGAATGAGATGTCAATGCGTTGGTTCTTTACGAAGCTTAGGAAAGTGATCGGGGAAGTCGAGGATCTCACATTCGCAACTGATCGGGGTCAGTCTCTAATAAATGCTATCGGTGAAGTTTTCCCCGAGCGGCCGAAGCTTATAGTGTCGAGGAATGTAATAAGTCTATGGTCGAGATAGGAAGTAAGTCGTTCCCAGCATAGGACTATCTTACAAAAAAGGAGGATAGAACATTGGGCGTGGCCACATTTTTGAGGACGTAGGTATAACATGATGACATCGAACAACGTGGAGTCTCTGAATGCATTGTTCAAGAAGGATCGAGAATTGTCAATTCTTGCAATGATTGAGAACATTCGTACCAAACTACAGTAGTAGTTTTACGACCGACATGCAGAATCACAGAATTGCACGAGCATGCTAGCTCCGGCTCAAGAGGATAAACTGTTCAAGGCTGTAGAGGTTGCGAGAAAGTTGATTATGGAACCGCTAGATGAGTCGCGCTTCTCCGTACAATGTGCACGTCATGTGGCATATATGGTGGACCTGACTGACAACACGTGCACTTGTAATCGATTTCAGCTAGAGAGTTTTCCATACGAGCATGCAGTCGCGGTAGCTTTAAACAGAGACTTTGCAGCGAGAACATTATGCTCTCCTTATTACACGACTGATTATTGGAGAGTAGCGTATGCTGAGACTATATTTTCCCTATCGAACGAAGTCGATTAGGAAGTTCCTGACTATATTCTCACACTTAACAGTTTGTCGCCACCGATAGTTGAATCGCATGGCCCTGGGTGTCCACGTATTTTTTGAATACCCTCTACTGGAGAGTTTTCTCGACAGCGTAGGTGCGACGATGTAGAGCAGTCGGCCATACTCGCCAAACTTGTATGAGTTAGATTCGCCTGAATGACAATTAGTCAAGTCTGTAATGTTCTTGCTGTTAAATGATCAATGTTTTCATTTATTTTAGCATTATTTATAATTAATTCGTACGTGAATATTCACAAATCATTTTATACATAAATAAATTAAGAAATTTTAATTTATAATATTTACAATATTGATAATTCACAATCTACAAAATTCAATAATAAAATGTACAATATTTACGGATCACGTTCGAATTCGTACAAATCGCACGTTAATTTATTCCTTCAAATTCTATGATTGGTTGATTCCATCAACCTTATGTCATACACTTAAAAATTCAATGTATTTAATTGTAAACATGCCGCAATCGCCCCAGCAATAGAATAAAAATGTGTTAGTTCGATACCGTGTAGCTAAAACTAAGTTTGCAAGTTAAAAACAAAATATAAATACTTATGATCTGAACTGTCTCGCCGTCGTCGTGTCTTGCACGGTAGCTACCCTGTCATTCACAATCACACCGACTCAGACAGCCATCAAAGGAACGATCACTGAAATAGGCTCCAAGTTGTGCTCGAACCTCGAACTGGCCTTGTGTCAGACATGAATGGTCTCAGTCGTACACGTATATAGTGTAGTCAGCAAAAAAATATATGGTCAATGTCATGTATGCACATACTAGAGATGTAAATTTTTAATTTGAGTGAGAAAAAATGTACAGTAAGGAAACACATCGATTGTTGATGTGAACTCGAGAGGGGTCAATTCCAAAGGCATTATCAAAGTCAGGCAGTGGTATCGATATCCAATTGCCATGTCGGAACTGCATTAACCAAACTTTTCAATGCCTAGGAAAAGTTCATGCCTTCCATCTTGGCACATTTTCGTTGCAAATATAACTCTAAAATTTGAAGGTGTTCATAACACAAGAAAACAAGTAGAATTTTACTGAAAATGGCTTTTACAAGTACAATAATGGACATTAACAAACTTACCAATCACCTATGAGGTACACAGAATTATTAGTTACCAAAGTCCAAGTCGTGTGTTCAAGCTTTGGTTAGTTTGAATTGTGTTTAATCTCCATGGTACGGACCATCGAGACAAGCTAGTTTCGAATTGATCTCCTTCAATTGAAGTGTTTGCCCCTCTTATCATAGTATATATAAAGGACATAGTTGCTAAAAAAAAACTATAGATTTAGCAAAATATAGAAGAATGTAAAAAAATAAATAAATCATATAACTAAATTTCTATTTATCGAGGTGCGTGTTTGAATTTTCCTAACTCATAATTTAAGTTAGTTAAATTTTAATTTTATCCAAACATTTGTAGGACCTAGGACAACTACTCACTTATTCACTCTTTGTTTTTATCAATTCTTAGTTTCAACAACATACAAAGAATGCCAAACAAGCACTAATTTGTAACCCATATTTTTATTGCAACTATGGTCCTCAATTTTTGCTCATTATAATCCTTAGGAATAATTGTAATAGCGGTACCGAACATTTTATTTGATAGCAGACTTTGTCCAAACTTTTCATTTATGTCACTCATGGTATCAAACATTTCAAAAACTCGCAGCTGAGGTCCAATTTAACAGAAACTGTTAGTTTGACCGTTAGTTGATTGAAAATTGACATAGACCATATTTTTTACTAATTTTACAAGGTTAAAATGATAAATTTATATTTTCTATAATAAAATAATTAAAATCATAAATCAAAAAGAAAAAAAACACTACATCTTTTCCACTCACCCCCACATACCCACCCTACCCAACCCAACCCAAACCCAGAACCAAAACTAGGACCTACACATTTCCCGGCCATCGCCACCCACCCCACCGACCACCGTCACCATGACTGTCCATCTCTAATAATCAATAAACACTGATTGAAACACCAAAGCCAGAACACATCCAATTATCCGCCGCGCTCACCATCGCTTGTCCGTACCTCTACCATGTCCCATCCATCAGATTCGACGACCACATTGAAACACTTGAACACAGACCCGCCGCCATCTCCACCAGATCCTACCCATCAACTGCCACCATGGCGGAAGAGATTGAAATACCATTGCCACAGGTACAACCACAGCAAGAATCAACTAACACCATTATCACAATCCCACAACAAGAACCCACTAACACCACCACCTATTGAAGAAGAGGTAAATGGCTTTTCGAATTCAGACCGGATAACTTTATCGCAATAAGCAAGTCCAGATGGAGTTACAATGAACTCACAAGAACCAGATTCATAACCCAATGTCCAGTGTTTGTTTATGCTCAATTCATTTGTACAAATTGAGAGTGAGATTTATATTGTGGGTTAGGGATTTTAATAGATCGAGCAATAGCGTCGCCGAGGGATAAAATGGCACATGTGGGGGGTTTTGGGAAGGGTATTTGTACTATTGGTGAGCTGTGGAGTTGTGGTGGAAGAAGTGGTGGCATCGACGTGGGGCTTGTTGTGGCGGTGGCGCCGACCTCAACCGTTAGTGGTTTTAAGGTAAGGGGTTTGAGGAAGAAAAGGATGGTGGTGGATGGAGTGTTTGTTTTTTCTTATTTAATTAATAATATATTATAATTATGTTTTTTTGTTGAAAAATGTAAATTTACCATTTTAACTTTATAAAATTAGTCAAAATTATGGTAAATGTCAATTCTTCGGTCAATTAACGATCAAACTAACAGTTTTTTTTGTTAAATTGGACTCCAGCTGTGAGTTCTAAAAATGTTTGGTACCTTGGGGGACATGAATACAATGTTTGGACAAACTCTACTACTAAACGAAATGTTTGGTACTGTTACTGCAGTTATCCCTAATTCTTACGTCTTTAACTTTTTTATTCTTATCATTAACATTTCAATAATTATTCACATCATATTTTAAAAAATAAATAATATAAGTGTGTGACAAAATATTTTTCTCTCAATATGTAAATAATTTTTTTTAAATAAATCATATTCGAGAATTCCTTAACCCTATAACCAAACATATTCTAAAACCTCCACCACTGTACGTTCTCTACATCACCATATATACATACGTAGCGTGACTCTATCTCTCTCTCTCTGACCTATTCTCCTCACAACCTCTGTTTCATTCCCTCTTTCTTTTCCTTCCCTCTCTATGAATACATCTTCACGGACTTGTTCTTTGTTCTTTTAGGATTTTCAGTTTTCATAGTAGAATTTCTTAAACTGAAAAAGAAACGGCTGAAGTGTTCATGTGGTGGTGCTTCTGATGGAGACGGCGCCCATAAAATCAAAGCCATTGCATAACTTCTCTTTGCCCCAACTCAAATGGGCACACAAGAACTCCACCTCACAATACCACCGCTTTCGCCGTCGCGATTACCCTGATAACCGTCAACCCGACTCCGATTCCTACTCCGAGATTCGAGTCGTTAAGACTAGAACGGAACAGCTCCCTACTATTCCGAAAAGCCCACAGCAAAAGGGTTTGGTTTGTGCCGAGGAGGAGAATTGGGGGTGCAAGGAGTGGTATTTGCGGCCGAGGAAGGAGGTCAAGGCGGCTGCGGCCAAGAAAGAAACAACAGTTGAAAATAGCAGAATCAATAGCACTAATAGCGCTTTAAAGTCGAATAGACTGAGGGGATGGGCGGAAGGAGGGGAGCAGAGTGGGGGATTGGGTATGGGCTTTGGCGTGGAGAGGAAGGAGAAGATGAAGATTTGGATTTCGTTGTCAAGGGAGGAGATCGATGATGATGTTTATGCTTTAACTGGTTCCAAACCCGCTCGCAGACCCAAGAAGAGATCCAAAAACATTCAGAAACAACTCGATGTATGTCTGTTAAAACCAGTGTTTTATTTTCTTTTTCTGTGTTTGGTGGAAAAAAAAATTCATTTTTGTTGTTTTGCAGGGTGTGTTTCCGGGATTGTTTTTGGTGGGGCTTACGGCTGACTCGTACAGGGTTCATGACGCTATGGTGAGAAATTTTTCCATTTGTACGCATGATTAATTCTTTGTATATCCCGATTTTATGTGCAAACTCGGATTTCTGTATTAAATAATCAATTTCTTGTGGGTTGATTGCAAAATTTGACAATTTTGGATTTTATTTCTTGCAGAGGTACATGTAATAAGGTAGATGAAGCCAGATTCTTGATCCTGTGGCGTACGGTACCGATTCTCACCCTTCCTAATGTATGCATGTGTTAGTGTGCAAGCAGTGTTCTTCTGCTCTTGCGTGCACCCGTACCAATCTGCCTGCACTTATGTTCGAGTTTCTCAAGTTTCGTTTTGAGTGGTCTATCTTTTGCTGGATGTTCTGTAACCTGGACCTGTTTGATAATCTGATGTAGAGGTGGATTTAATGCCGGGATGGTGGCTGGAAGAATCTGGCGTGGTTCACCAACGCCTCGGTTGAGGTATAATAGTACTAAATTATGTAAACAATGTAGATAGCCGCTAGAATATTACTTTTTTTTTTTTGCAGCTCATTTCAGAACATTAAGTAGAATTTAGGGGTTTAACATTTATTGTCTTTTATTGTTTGATTTTAAGATGTAGGCAGTGAATGTTTGCACAAATGGATATATGGTTGGATTATCTTTTCTCACGATGCAATATCCTAGTTTTTGCTTCTAAGGGATTGGATTATCTTATGGGTCGTGTTTAAAATGTAAACAGTGAATGCTTGAATGAATTAATAGAATTGGATTATCTTTGATATGATGCAATGTCCTAGTTTTGATTTTTATTTTTTCAGGGATCGAATTATCTCGGTCATGTTTAAGATGTAGATTAATGGTATGCTTGACAGTACTGGATAGTATTAAAGACAAAGCCCTTGTTTGATCCTCGTATTCCCGAAAGTCATTTCTTTCAAAATTCATTTTCGACCGGGTATCATACAGTAAAATATTCCGCACGTAAACCCAAAAATTTTTCCTACTTTTTAACCATATATTCTCGAAAAAATCATCATTCCAAAATCTTTTAATACCAAAAAAATGGGACTCAAACAAGGGCAAAACAAAAAATGTTCTGTATTATAAAGTTGGAGTGTAGTTTTGATGTCTGAAACTGGTTAATTCTGGACATGAAAATGCTGATTCATCTTAACTAAACCGAGCTGTTGCTTGAGTGTGCCTAGTTTCTATAAGAGACTGGATTAGCAAATGAGTTAAATTAATTTATTTTACTTAATAGAGAAACTCAGCTGGCATTACACATTGTTGATTAACGTCCACATACGTTATTTCCGTAGTTGCTTTCACAGTTTGGTATTCTTTATGATCCGCGTTGGTTTGACCGTGCTTAAAACTTAAAAAGTCATTTTTCTTGAAAGTATGCTAAGACTTGCTTTGAGAAAATTAAAGTTTACCTACTTTTTAAGCACAATCATACATGTTCTAACTTTTAGTAAGTCAGATGACTCAAGTGACCTCAATCAAGCCTTTATCTCTAGAATTAAGCTAGTGTGCCAGAAATTGTTTGCCCACCCGAATAACCTGAACTCACATGGTGTGGGACCGACTGGGGACCCGCGTGAAATAAAAAAATGAAAAAAAATGCTCACCCGCTCCCCAATGTTTGTGTTTTGTCAGGGAGGGTAACACTCTCCCTGGCACACCAGCTCGGTTCTTATCTCTAATATCTTTTGTCAGAATGACTCCATGGTGCTGCTTCGAGAAAGTCGAGGTTCTATTTCCTCATTTTCTTCATACGGATGGAAAACCTTTTTGTAATAGCTGCTTTAAACTTATTTTCTCATTGTTTTGGATTCAATTTTTACATAAATATGATGTTCATCAGCTTTTCTCGGCTGCTCTTTTTTGTCGCTGAAAGTTTTGGTCCTTTCCATGGATCTTCTATCTGACCGTTTCTCGAGCAGCGAATTAGATTTTAATTTCTTTTTTCCTTTGTTAAGTGCTATTTAATACTCGTTATGAAACGTTCCATTAATCAGTTCTCATGTTAGAGCCCTTATACCAGTATGTAGACTATCCATGCGCACGTTTATGTGCAACAATCCTATTTTCTTTATTATGGCAATGTTTGCTACATAGTAGTGAACTGTTCGACGACTTATCAGTTAAAATTAGTGAACCCAACTGCTTTATGTGGATCGAGTATGATAACTATAGTTGCAAGATTGTAACTAGAAGCCCTTCCCGTATTTTAACGACATCTCCTGGATTAAAGTGATAAAAGACCTAAATTTTATATTCTTAATGTAAAATGTATCTATTTACATTTAAACCTGCGGTTGGTAGAGTGAAACTTAATGTTGATGGGAGTTGTCTTGGCAACCCGGGAATGGCTGGTGGTGGTGGAGTTGTTAGGGATGATATGGGCAGGTTGGTTGCAGGCTTTTCTTCTTTCTTTGGATATGGTTCTAATAATGAAGCGGAGTTGAGGGCGCTTATCGATGGACTGACCTTGTGCCAGGATTTGGGTTTATACCAGGTAGATATTGAATGTGATTCTTTGCTAGTGGTGTCTTGGATTTTGGCAAGGAAATGTACAATATGGTATTTGTGGGACTTTTGGGAAGTTCTGATTGAGCTTTTAAAGAAGTTTGATTTTCACGTTATTCATCAGTATAGAGAAGCTAATCAGGTTGCGGATGAGCTGGCAAAGTTTGGTGCGAAAGGAAATACAGAACGTTTCTTATCATGTTTGGAACTGCCATTTATCTGTCGAGGGTTGATTCGCTTAGATAGAATGGGTGTATTGTACGTTCGGAAGAAAAGATAGGCTATTTTTGCATTGTTTGTTTAGCTTGATCAGAGATTAGGTATTTGCTATTTTATTGGTTGATAATCTGTTATTACGGTATTCCTTCGCCTTACGAGAGGGTTTTTTATGAATCAATGTCTGGAGGTACCGCCTCCTTAGGCTTTGTTAAAAAAAAAAAAAAAAGAGGTTTTTGACTTATTTTCAAATTGAATCGTTTGAAAAAAAAAATTCTAAACCGAACGAATATAATTTTTTTCAGTTCGATTTAATTTCAAACAATAATTTTAGTGGCACAAAATAACATTTATCAAATAACTGAAAATAAAAATATATTAATTTAAAATCACAATACCACGTTTTAATTTAAACTTTCTAAATGCAAAAGTAGTAATACTAACATATTAATCACTAAAGCAATGAATTAATACAAATTTCAACCATAAATCGTATCATCCAAATTTCTTTGTGTAAAATAGACGAGAGTGTTTATGATTGACATTATTATATGTCTATGGTTTTGTGCAATTACTAAATTTTTTTTTTTGTGGATGCGGCTAAGTACTGTTGATAAAATACTATTCCTTTGAGAATGCTCATGCTTTACGATTGTTCTGTCGTCTGTTTATGATAAAGATTTTTTTTTTTTTTTTGTGGGATCATTTGATAATTTATTATCACATGCAGATGTTGGTAAAAATGTGGAGTAGAGCAATGGAAACCAAAAGAATAAGTACTATCGAAACAAGACTTAAATGAAATCGTTGTCCTCAAACGATATTTGCATCCACCACCATGCTTTTAAGGATTGAAAATGACAAATAGTTTGTAGGATTATCAAGCCTAAATATTTAAACACCAAAAGCTAAATGATTCTTCAAGTTGAACAAGTGAAAGTATTGGAATTTGATTATGTAAGAGAATGGAATTTCTTCAATAATTTGGATGAACAATTGAATGATTTTCAAATTGTATTTTGGAATGATAACTAACATGTTTATATAGTTCTCAGTCATTCCTACACGAAATGGTATCAACTCATATGGAAAAGGTGCGTTGCTTCACAAGAAACCACCAGAAATTTCGAAAAAATCCAACTTAACGGTCGAATTTTTACACTGTGCGACCGCATAGGCTATAACTACACGGTCGCATAGTTTTAGCATGGGTCACCCCTTTTTCCTTGATGGCCGCCATGCGACCACAAGCCACGACGCCAATAATGTGGCGCCGAAGGTGGTTTTTCTTCATATTTCCAATTCATTCATCCATGGTTTCTTCTCTCGATTTTTGAACAATAATTCTAACAACAGATTTATTACTAAACATTCTAATATAATTCTTAAGTTGCCTAAAAAGTGTTGTAGAATATTTATAATCTTCCATAACATTATTAGAAATAACAATGGAAATCAAAAGGATATTTTAAAAGTTCATGTTAATAGAAAGAGAATGAGCGAGTACGCAATAAATCCAAGGTTGATGAATCATTTCTTCATAATTGGTCAATAGGGAAACTGCATAATTTGGTAGTGTTAGAAAATATGGGTCGTGGGTGGGTCATTCATGTGGGGTGACCCGACTCACAAGACATCAAAAGGATTGGAGAGAGTGATTTGAATTTGAAATTCAAATTTACATCTCGACATAACCTCCAATAACTTCCATAAAACCTTCAATTTTTGTCTAACAATGGAGAGAGATAAAGATGGTAGAAAATAAGTGATCGAAAATCACTCAAAAAATAGAAAGTGTTTAGACTACATATATGACATGAAAACTCACAAAATTAGGCATTTAAATTGTTGATAGCAATCTCATTTCATTGTGATCAGGATTGGGACCATTGGAGAACAAGATAAAGCAGACTTTGAAGTTTTGAAATGCAATGTGATTCAACTGCATAAAGATCTTGGAATTCATCACTTCAAGTAAGAAATTTGACACGAAATTGATGTTAAAGTATGCTTCGAATTATTTTATTGGTATCAGAGACATAAGGTTGAATTCCTTGTTGTAATACATGTTTAAATATGAGATAACATGATACAATTGAGTTATGAATCTTGTATGTAAAGTTTTGAAACCTTATGTGGTCTCTAATGGCATCTTTTGATAATTTACTACTTTTCATACATTAATAATTATGCAGTAAGATTAGTATAGTTAGAAATGTATTTTAATAAGATTTTCAACCATATAAAGAACTTAAAACGAAGAAGTTATGAGATTTTGAAATTTGGATGTAAATCTTAATTTTTACATAAAGATCTGTAAAATTCAAAATTTCATCATATGATAACTTCTTCTATACTATGTTTCATACATCCCATTTGGAATGGTTGGATAGATCTTCTCGAGACATTTCCGACGATTTAAAGATAATTAATTTTAGCTT